TATTATCGCACCCACCGTACTCTCCAGACCTCGCCCCGTCCGACTTCCACCTTTTCGCATCGATGGGGCACTCACTTGCAGAGCAGCACTTCGTCAATTTTGAAGAAGTTGAAAAATGGCTCGTCGAATGGTTTTCCTCGAAAGAGAAAAAGTTTTTTTGGAATGGTATCCATAATTTGCCTGAAAGATGGACGAAATGTGTAGAATCAAATGGTCAATACTTTGAATAAAAATATTTTGAGATTCCCTTGAAAATTATGTGTTTTTTTTAACGAAAAAACCGGCAAACTTCAACTTACACTCCTGGTAGATATACGAATGTAGTTGTACTGCTTTTTTTCTATTCAAATATAAGATATATGTATTAACACGGCGATTATTCTATCAATTTTTTAGATGACAAATAACCAAATTAGACGGAAAATCAATGCGTTAGTGAAAAGATACAGACAAGTGGTAGATAATAATTCAAAGTCGAGAAGAGCTCGCATGGAATTCGAATGGTTTAAGCAGATGGATGAAATTCTCGGATTGCGGCAACGTGCCAGTACTGGGCATACTGTTTCATCAAAATTTACACCATCAGCATCCGCTACTTGTACTTCGACTTCTTTTGAAAAAGAAAATTTGAATGGATCCTCTTCAGTTCAGATGAGTCCATCGAAATTAATCTCATCGAAAAATGATTTCGTAAAGTCAAATGTTACTGGCATGAGAAAACGTAAGCGTCCCTCTCATGGAACAGGTTCCAAAACTGCAGCAACAAAAATCGAACTCGAAAAATAGTGGCTGCATCATTTACAAAAAAAAAGAAGAACGTGATCGTAACAAAAATCAAAGATATATAAATCTGTTGGAGGCTAAGAAAGAAACTCTAAAATTGAAAAAAAGACAGCTTGATTTGAAAAGAAACTGAATTGGAACAACGAAAAGAAATTGCAATAAAGAAGACGAAAGAGAAAAAAAAACCATCATATAAAACTGATAGAAATCGAACAATTAAAATATAAATTGCTAAAGAAACTTGTAAACGAAAATCAAAATATTTGTGAAACACCACATTCTGACTGAAATTCGATAATTGAAGCAGCATTAAGCCTTTATTTAAGTGTTGTGTTCTTTTCGTAAGCATAAAGTTATATTTTTTCTCCAGTGTTACTGTCTTTTTTAAAATGTTATTTTCTTTTCGTAAGCATAAGTTATAATGCCAAAAGTAATAAATTATAAGCGAAAAATTTAGATGAACTAAAAGAGCGTTATTTTTTTCGAGTGTTATCTTTTTTATTTTAGCACACTTTTTTTATTTTTTAATGCAAAAATCAATGTTTATAAGTCTGAGATGTAATAGATAAGTAGTTTTATTAGATAATTATTCAATAAAGATAATTCTATTTTACATAAATAAGACAGAAATTGTGTCGACAGTTATTCGCATTTTATGGAATCAACATTATTTAACTGTTTGAAAAATTACGCAAAATTCTCACAGTAAATCATATTTCAGGGAACATTGAAAAGCATCCTGCAATCTTGTTCCACTCTACAATCTCCAGTTCGTATTTCCAATTCCTCATTATCATTCTCCAAATTACTAAAATCTTCATCATTATCTTCAGGAAAATTGTAAACATCATTCTTATCGATACAATAATTATGTAATATACACGCTGCAGCTACTGTGTTAGTGATAAATGACATTTCACGATATTAAGCAAAAAATTTAATTCGACGGAATCGTCTTTTTAATTGCCCAATTGCTCTTTCAACAGACATTCTTGTGGATGAATGTATGAAATTAAATTCCCTCTGTTGTGGTGTAAGATGACCATTATCTCGAAAAGGTGGCACAAGCCATGGTAAAGATGGATATGCTGAGTCCCCTAATAAAAAAAGTATTACCAAGGAATAATACACCATTATCAGCATTTGCTGCATGGTACAATTCTGATCTTCGGAATATACGTGCATCATGGAGAAAACCAGGCTCACCACAATGTATGTTAGTAATCCGCTTATCCGCATCTGCCACTATTTGTAGACTAATAGAAAAGAATTTTTTTTATTACAATAGTCTTGTGCGTACATTGCAGGTTTTTCTATCCGAACATGAGTCCCGTCAATTGCTCCTAAGACATTTGAAATTCCTTGCTTAGCACGAAAACCTTCAACGGTCGTTATTATGTTTTGTCCCTGTGGCCATTTAATTATTACATCTAATTTCGTCATCAACCAGGCTATGACACGACGGAGAACGCAAAACACAGATGAAATAGAAAATCCAAATCTATCAGCCATAGTTCGCAAAGGTTCTGTATTGGCAATATACCATAAAAAAAGCAAGACTCAATTTTGCTGAGATCGGTTTCTTTCCAAATGAATGTGATGGAATAAAATTTGATAAATATAACTCATCTCTAACAAAAAATTTCTTTTATACTTTATACAACATGCATTATAATTACAATAATGTTGATCATTATGTATAAATCGATAGAGAATATGTTTCATACCAATCAGTCTTTGCGCAGTATGCCGATTCAATCTTAAATGTTCCTTAAATTCTTCATCTGTCCAGGAGTCAATAATCAAAGGATAATCCTCAATTCGATGTCTCTTTCGGCCAATTGTTAATTAATGCAGAAGAGGAAAAAGCAATAAGTCTGCATGATTTTCGTCACTACTGAAGGAAGTGACGCTACTATTTGTACTACTGCTTAATTCTTCCATTGCACTACTTGTTTCATCAGAACTGCTGTATAAGTTGGGAATTTCTATCAATTCATGCACAATTTTCATTTTATCCATCTGCAAAATATATTTATACTCATCGCGATCGTAAACAATAATAAATGATGGTTATGTTTGATTTGTACGTACTTTAAATATGCCAATATGCTCCTGGTACACCAATTTTTCAATTAAATGAACTTACTAGATATCATGAGAAGACATAAGCAGACTCTAGCGGTTTAGTTCAGAACTAAACGCATTCCATCAAGTATCTAAACACGGCGTTTGACCGTGTCACATAGGGTGCGTTCGGGGAGACGCTATTAGCGCTATTTAGCGCTACGAAGGGTGCGTTCCACTTAACGCCCGCAACGCTCCTAGGATCATTTTATCCTTGTTTTTCATCGAAAGTTAAACGAGGATAAAATGATTCTAGGAGCGTTGCGGGCGTTAAGTGGAACGCACCCGAACTGTTCGCGGAGCTAGATGGTAGCGCTAGCAAACGCTATCATGACGTCATCAATGGTGGTGTGTGACGTCATAACTGCGCGCTATCAACGCTATTCCTTCCGAGGTAGTGTGTTGGTAGCGTTAGCGTTTACGAGCTCCGTGAACGCTGTAAATTGTGTAAAATTGTCTAACCATTATTTGAAATCTATTGAACGGCAGCGATATATTAATATTTATTACATATGTACAATGGATAATTCCATCGAAATAACTCTAAAAGATGCTGAAACTGAAGAAGAGTTCAAGTTACGACTTTCACCGACTAGTGCTTTTAAAGCAGAAACCGGTAAGTATTTCTACGTAACTATTAGGTTATGGTTGTTTGATGATTGTGATTTTACTTATTTGTTTTAGTATTATTATTCTTATTTTTAGTTTTTTTTATATAATTGTATACATATTTTTATATAATTTTATATAGTTGTAATTAATTTAATATATGGGGTTTTGGCTTTTATCACAATGTTAATTTAATTTTAAAATATTAATCCTTTATCTTCTTTGTCATTTTCTGCGAATCTATTTTGTAACTTTTAATGCATACATTACAAATATTTTTATGTAGACAAAATATATCATAAAGTAGCTATGCAATAAGTAGGAAAAATAACGAAATTGTCATAAGTTACAGAATAAAGAGAACGTTTTTTATGTGCTTTAATTATTTTACATGCAGATTTGAATTTTGCGACTACATTATTGAATGTTGCACGTCAAGGTGCATGCTTTGGTCAAAACAGTGCATGTTCTGGTAAGAATTGTTTTAACAATCGTCACTCATAGTAATAATATAGTTTATATCTATTGCTTGATGCATGTATGAAACAATCTGTGCTAACTATATCTGTCTTTCTTTGTATTAAAAAAAAATGATTATTTTTTAGAAACTGAGCATATGCAGACTACAATATCATATGATACTCCGTTGGAGGAAGCATCTGGTTACCAGATTCTGGTATGTGATTAATTTAATTTCTTCTTGACATTGTAAGGTAATTTGGTAATTAATTATATGTATTGTTTTTGTAGATGATATATATATATATATGTTACCTTCTCAGGAACAATCTCAAAGAGAAACGAAAGAGGAAATGAGAGAAGATCCATTGTTTGAAAACAAGGAAAGTAAGCAAATTTTACAATATGAATTGTAATCATTTTAAATTTTATTTTTATGTTTGTTTGTTAAGCAATTTATCTAATTATTTTCTGTTTTGTTAGAGGTTATATTGATTTAATATGTTATATTCATTGTTAAAAATATGTATCTTTCTTAAGCAATTATTATTTATTTGTAATATCTGACCATTTTTATGTATTTTAGAATGTCTGGTCTGGATGGAGGTAAAAAGAAGCCCTTGAAGGCACCAAAGAAGGAATCGAAAGTTTTAGATGATCAGGATGTAGCATTTAAACAAAAGCAGAAGGAACAGCAAAAAGCATTAGCAGAAGCAGCGAAGAAAGCCAGTCAAAAAGGCCCATTAGTTATTGGTAGTATAAAGAAATCTGGAAAGAAATGATCTCATGTAGCAGTGGGTGAAATTTGTGATTTACTGTGCACATGATGATTACAACAATAATTATGGATTGATTAATTGTTATATAAGACAACTTTTTTTTATGGTTTTTAATTTTGAGAAATCTTTAAACTTGTAAATAAAAATTATGTATGTATTTTGTGTTAAATTTTTATAAAACCGATATTAATTGAATTGTATTGAATTTGTATGTATATTAATTAATATACAGGACTTATATTTCACAGTAATTACAAAGAAAAATTCAAAATTCATAAAACAATATCAATCCACATTTAGAATATGTCAGTTTTTGATGTTAAATACTATTGATATTAAACTGTTACATTCTCAATATAATTATATGTTGTAATTATGTCATCTATTATGTGATTCTTTTTAGGATTTTGAAAAGGATTTGTGTAATGTAAAATGATATTTTATTCAATATGTGCGCGTTTAATGTATTATTACATTTGCTAAAGGACTTGTCTTGAAAGTTACAGTTTTATATGAAATGCCAAATTAACTCTCATATTCAATGTATTGATATGCAACATAAAAATAAAAACAATGTATCTTTTATACTTCTATGTGTCATATTATATAAAATCAACAGTATTAAAACTGCAATAATTTTATGTGAAATTTATAAAAACTTTATTTTATAATAATTTTAATTTTTCAGTTTAGTTTTCTTATAAAGAAGATTTTTGTTTCATTCTAAAAAGTAATTTACTAGGTGCGCAACTAAGTTTCCGGGTTTCACACATGAATGGCGCTAACGATACATGTAGTCGATATACATGTCTAAAGTTGTGTTTTTTTATTAACTTGGACATCTGTCAACAATAACCAGTCATAATACCAACACATATTGCAACGCAAAAATATTTTTTCTAACAATAAAGATGTCGAGTCTTGTGCCAAATAAACAGCATTTGCGGGAAGCTTTGCTTTTCTGCTTCAACTTGAAAGAAAATGCAGCTGAAGCACGCCGTTTTCCTTGAGAAAGCCTACGGCGAACATGCACAATCGAAAACTACTTGTGAAGATTGGTTTAAACGCTTTAGAAATGGCGATTTCGACACTGAGGACAAGGAGCGCTCCGGAAGACCAAAAACATTTGAGGACGCCGATCTGCAAGCGTTATTGGATGAAAATGATACGCAAACACAAGACAACAACAACTGATAAATTTGAACCATGCATTGCTCGA